AACGGCGCAGTGATCGCCTATGGGCAGACGGGGGCAGGGAAGACTTATTCCATGATCGGAAGCAAGGCCGGGTTGTGCTTTGGGCTTAGGTTTATTAAGGTATTAGGGTTTAGGGTTTAGGGTTTAGGGTTTAGGTTTTGTTGGGCTTTGGGCTTGGGGTATTAGGGTTTAGGGAGGGTTGTAGGGTTTAGGGTTTAGGTAGGGTTTAGAGTTTAGGGTTTAGGGTTTAGGGTTTAGGGGTGGCAGGCTAGATGTTTGTAGGTGTTACAGGTATTTGGTATCTGCCTCATAGTCTCAAAGTTAGCTTTGATATGAGTATGAGTTGTTCCGGTTGGTTTTTCTCATTCTCCCGTGTCCCCCATGACCAGCACCCACAGCCCCACCTTAAACCCTAAACTTGAAACGCATCATAATCTCTCTCTCTCTCTCTGTCTCTCTCTCTCTCTCGAATCGCAGCATCCACTTGAAACGCCTTGCGAGGCCTATAGGCAAGCACTTCCGTGCCCGGCGCCCCTTGAGCGCTGTGCATTTGCACACCTACGAAAAGAGCTAAGTTTAGAATGCCCGCGCCGTTACACACTCAGCTATCAACATATAAAACCTTATAAAAAACGGTCAAGCCCCCGCACGAGACACAAAACTTCAATCCCTAAACCCTCAACCCTAAACCCTAAAACCCTAAACCCTAAACCCTAAACCCTAAAGCCCTAAAGCCCTAAACCCCAAAGCCCTAAAGCTCTAAACCTTAAACCCTAAGCCCTACACCCTAAACCCCTAAGCCCTAAAGCCCTAAACCCTAAAGCTCTAAACCCCAAAGCCCTGAAGCTCTAAACCCTGCACCTTAAGCCCTAAACCCTAAACCCTAAACCCTAAACCCTAAGCCCTAAAGCCCTAAAGCCCTAAAGCCCTAAACCCCAACCCTAAAGGCCTAAACCCTAAACCCTACACCCTAAAACCCTAAACCCTAAACCCTAAACCCTAAACCCTAAACCCTAAACCCTGAACCTTAAGCCCTAAAGCCCTAAAGCCCTAAACCCCTGAGCCCTAAACCCCAAACCCCGAACCCTAAACCCTAAAACCCTCAATGCAACCCCAAACCCTAAAGACCCAAAGACCCCAATTAAGTCAGAGGCCGGCCCTTTCACCTCAAAGCTCGGGCCGAATCGGAGTTTCCGTCTGCCAAAGTCTGAACTCGGAGCTCTAAAATCCTAACCTAAACCCTAAACCCTAAATCCTAATATGACCTATATAATGTAGGGGCCTGAGCTCTAAAATCCTAATATGACCTGATGTAGGGGCCTTAATAATTAGAATGGGGTTTCGGTGTGATGCGGGCGAAAGCCTGTCAACGAAGAGCGAAACGAAGGACGACAAGGGTTTTGGGGTAGACTATACTATACTGTACTTATAGTAAGACCTATAGTGAGGAAGAACAGCCGACTAGGCTTCAATAAACCTAAGGACGGCTGGAACGCTAGAAGTGCTGAAAACCCGAAGTGGCCGTCCTCTTTTACGCCACGTGTGCCCTCCTATTGATGATATAAATCCTGCATTACCTTAAGGACCCTAAACTATCAGACTTATGGTATACTCCTTACTACGGGTACTGCAGGAATTTATATCATCAGCCGTAGTGACTCTTTGAAGAGTGCTTGGAGGTTCATGGGTAGTTATAAGTGGGGTTATAAGAGGGTAACTATACATACAACCCATATTAGGGGACGTACAACCCCACTTATAACTACCCCTAAAACCCTAAACCCCTAAACCCTATAGAACCCTTTAAAGGAACCCTTAGAGGAACCCCATAGCCCCACTTCTAACCACCCATGAACCTCCAAGTGAGCGAAAAATCCACAGCTCCCTCCGAATCCTTCGGCCTCGCCGGGGCATGGCAGAAAGGAAGGCCGAGAAGCATGAGGACGAAGACCTGAATGAACACGGTTTGGGGTTTAGGGTTTAGGGTTTTAGGGTTTTAGGGTTTTAGGGTTTAGGGTTTAGGGTTTAGGGGTTTAGGGTTTAGGGTTTGAGGGTTTAGGTTTTTAGGGGTTAGGGTTTAGGGTGAGAAGTCAGCACGCTGGTGTCTTTCATCTGTGGGGCTTTGTTGGGGTAGAGAACACAGTCTGACTACTCTTCATTCTCAGTTCTGTTTTTTTTGGGGGTCTATCTGGGGTAGAGAACACAGTCTGCATACTCTTCATTCTCAGGTTTTTTTTCTGGGAGATGGGTTGGGATTAGGGCCGTGAAGGTATGCGAAAGAAGGCACTGGCCAGCACCCTGGTCGGGGGTGGCAGACTCAAGCTGCGGAGGAAAGCTCGGCTGTGACGCTGGAACCCTAAACCCTAAACCCTAAACCCTAAAACCCTAAACCCTAAAACCCTAAACCCCTATAAACCCCTATAAGCCCCTGTAAACCCTAACAGTGTCAAGCTTGGACTTGAGTGGGGCATCGATTCTCGGCTCTGTTATGTCAATGTGCTGCACCTGGTGTCGCCAGGAATAGTATGTAGAAGTGTGAGCATGCCACGGTCATCGAACGACGTTCAATCGTCATGACATTGCGAACAATTCATCGTCACCTTCATCATGAGCAGTACCCAAAAACTCCCGTTAGGAGCCTCTAACCCTAAACCTTACAACCCTAAACCCGCAAACCGAAACTCAAAGCCCTGAAGCATAAAACCCTAAACCTTAAACCCTAAACCCCTAAACCCTAAACCCTAAACCCAAACCCCTGAACCATAAACCCTAAA